CTGCCTGTTTAAAACAAGAAATTCTGTTACATAGTCCGTTATATTGAGACATATGTTTGGCATATAAAGTGATCGAATGGAAGAATGATGTCTACATAAAAATTGTAGCCAAATGAGTTAGATTTCCAATTCATTTTGAATCGCCTCAATCGGACATCAGAATACAAAGTTATAATAAAAACATTGAAAGAAGGTGCAGCTGCTTGTTTAAAACAAGAAATTTCGTTACATAGTCTTTTATATTGAGACCTATTTTTGGCATAGAAAGTGATCGAATTGAGATCAAAATTGTAGCCAGATGAGTTATCTTTCCAACGCATTTTAAATCGTCTCAATCGGATATCGAAATATAAAGTTATCATAAAAATACTGAAAGAAGGTGCAGCTGCCTATTTAAAACAAAACATTCCGTTACATAGTCCGTTATATTGAGACATATTTTTGGCATAAAAAGTGATCGAATTGGAGAATGATGTCTAAATCAACGTTGTAGCCAGATGGGTTAGCTTTCCAACGCATTTTGAATCGCCTCAATCGAATATCGGAATACAAGGTTATGATAAAAACACTTAATGAATGTACGGCTGCCTGTTTAAAACAAGAAATTCCGTTACATAATCCGTTAAAACAACAAATTCCGTTAGTTTTTCCGTTAAACCAACAAATTCCGTTAAATAGGTAATTTTTATATATAGAAAGATATAAAACGTCTCTTTCGTAATTTTGTTAGTATAATATTCTAAGCATGGGAGTTTATTAGAATGGTTTGTCGATTTGAGGAGAGAGAAAATCATTATAAAATTCAAAAAGAATTATTATTAATGATTATATTCCATGTAAAGATAAATAATTAGTCGATATTATTATGTTAATAATAATGGCAGCAAAATTCAACGTTACAATTTTCTGTGCTGCAAAATTTAATAGACCAGCTAACTTTTCTTAGATTTAGGAGCTCTGAAAAGAAGAGTTCTTGAGTGATATATCATCATTTAAAACTTTTGGCATCAAATTATAATCATTTGTATCATGTTACTCGTAAAGAATTCAAGCGATTTACCGACAATAAGACCTTTTGATTTGTTATTATTCTAAAAAATGTTAAAATTTTCTTGTTTTGAGGGTTTTCATGAGAATTATAGTTTGCTAAAACTCAATATTAAGAGTGGGCACGGTATGATTCGGTTCATTTTCCAAAAGAACGGTAATTAACCGAGTACCAATGGAAATCTTATTAATGGAACCATTGATTTCATATTTAATTGTGGAGCTGAACCGGACCGGACCGAACCAGGACCAACCGCAACTATTTCTGGTTTGGTCCGGTCCGATTCTTTACATTGAAAATATGTAAACAAAGTGTTCACTAATCAAAAATTCTAAAGATGTCGTCGACTATTAAACGAGATCACGTACACATGTCGAGTGGTCTAAGTCACATACAACAGTATCAACGCACCATTAATAGACTCCAACGGTTAAACTAACATGCCATTAATCAACAATTCCAAATAAGTCTACTTAGAAGTTGCAAATTCTGACTAAAATTACTTTCAAATTATAAATTTCCAAGTAAACAATGTAACAAGGAGCCTAAATTTAAAACAATAAGTTAACAACTAAATGTCTAAATCCCATATTGTAATAAAATTAACAATATACCATAACAAAATTAAACTTACGAACTCTTTTATAGTATTTATAATATCATTTAAGTATGGAATTCAATTACCCATGGATTGAGAAGGAAAGAATCGAAGAAATTGATTAATGGAAGAGAAAAAGGAAGTTGGAAGAGTGAAAAATAAAAAATAAACATGATTATTGTTCAAAAAAAAAAATCATAAATTATTCAGGTTTTATATTTTACCAAAAAAAAAAAGGAAAATAAAACGAAGAAACTCATTAGAACCTAATGTTCTCACAGAGGCACCGAGAGCAGGGTCGGAACTAGTCAATTCTCGATAATATGTCCCAAAATCGAATTGTTCTTTGGATGAACCGAACCGGAACCTCAACCGATCGGTTCTAATCGGTTCTGGTTCAGTTCCACCGATTCCCAAAAAGGGCCCACCCCTACTCAATATTGACGCAACTATAAATAAAGGCAAGAATTTTTACAATGATTGGGTGTGGCTGCGTCGTGATCATAAGTACTCGTAGCTTATGCCAAACGCTACTTGCGAGACTCCGCCATTCGTTAGCTGATGTATGAATAAGGAAGATGCACTCGCATGACACACATTTTCTAGTCTTGCACATAAAAGCTTGGTTTGTGGATGTACTTCTCGAATTAGCTGATGAATGAGATATTTTGTGTTTTATTTTGTCAAAAAAGAAAGAAAGAAGATAATTTAATTAAAGATCAATTAAGATAATAACTATACAAGTAAAAAAGTGATCTGGTCCATAGAACAAATTAAAAAAGAGGGATGCTAATCAAATTAAAATATATTCACTCTTATTTGTATGGACCTTGATACAGGTATAGGAATTCAAAATTCCTGTACCTGCTAGAGAACACACAATAGGGGAGTTTTGGCAATTTTTTAATCACTCGGGGCCCACCCCCATGTGAGAGAAACTTCCTGCAGGAAATCTCTGAATTTTATCCTGTACTCAAAGCATTTTTCTAATTGCATATGGTCCTCTCCATTGAAAAGTATCATTTTCAAGTAAATAAATACCATATGGCATGTTGATGTTATAATTTACATGCAATTCAAAGTGAACCACAAATGTTTTGACTTTTTATTGAAAAAAAAAATAAGTTTCAGGCTACGGTTTTAATATAGTACTAAATAGCATAGACAGCATTTTTAGTTGGTTATTATTTGTATTATTGTTTTAAAACAATTATGTCCATCATAAATAAGGGATTGTTTGACAATTTTTTTGATTAAAAAAATAGTAGATTTTGATAAAAGTTGATAAAATAAATGGCTAAAAATTGATAAAAATTGTAGATCTCATGAAATACATGGTTAAAATTAATTATTGACATTGACATTGACTTTTTAAATTATCACAAACAAACACTGACGGGTGTTCTAATTCACAACAATAATGGTTAGGTCTTGTAGAGTAATTAATAATAAATAAAATACGAACTTTGGAGGGTGACATGAAGCATGAGCTTGAGTTAAGAAAAACAAGTAATCAGTCGACTAGCTCCATAAGTTGGCGAAATAAAGCTTAAAGAAAAGGAAATGTGTCTATACTTTGACATCTCGTTATGCTCTTTGTTACCATATTTCTCAAGAGATATTTTGTGACTCATTATCGAGGTCTGCGTTGCAAATACTTCTCGTTCTTTATGTCAATCTCAGAACTTCGAATTCGTGTTATCAAATGCAAATGCATAGGTCTTGCTCCATGTATGCCAAAATCTTGATTGAAATTTTCAAGCTTCTGGTTGAAATATGTTATCTATTTACCCTATATATGTTTTGTGAAATCATGTTGCTTTAGAAGTAAGGATTTAAAATGCAAATCAACGCCCAAAGTCTTGTAAGTCACAATTGAACTCATTATGGAAACCCTAATTAACGTCTTTGAGTTATCATGACATTTGATGTTTGTACATTAAGGTGTAATGATAACAAATAATTAATTTGTCCCTTAAAAGGGGAAAACAAAAAAATAAAAATCATTTAGGCATGCCGAATATCAATAATTTTTTACTTGCCTAACTTACGAAGCAATTTTTATTTTTGCGTCTTTAAATTGAAGAATTGCAAAAGTTTTGTGATCGTAAAATATTAAATAACATAAAGAACATTTTGGTAATTTGTCAAATTTGTTTTACTTAAAAATTAGTAAAATTTTAAATATAAATGTGCTCAATGTAGTTATAAGCACAACTTATCCAAATACACATAATTTTACTTTGGGAATAATATATAAATAAGGTATTTAAGTATCACCATTTCAAAATTAAGGATAGATGCTTTAAATTTCAAAAATCAGGTCTTTATTAAAATTTATTTATGATTTAATTAATTAATTAAGTATTATAAGGTCACATATTTATACAATTTGATCACAAATTAACCATTTAATTAGTCAGATATTATTTTTCGATCATAAATTAAAATTTTTATGTCACAATTGATTTTACGATCACAATTCAAAAAATCTATAAGTCACAGTTTGTTCATCGGTCACAAATTAAATTTTTAAAAGTCATAATTTATTTATCGATCACAAATCTATCAAATTAATAAGTAACATATTATTTTTTAGATCACATATTATTTATTGGTCACAAAATATTCAATTTATTGATCACAATATCAATTTATCGGTCACAAATCACAAATGTTTAAGTCACAATTCAAATTTTTAGGTCACATATTGTTTATTGGTCACAATCTCAAATAATTGGTCACAGACACCCCCACCCCATGCGCATCCCACGTACAACCAATGCACCACCGCATCACTATCATCACCAACCCTCACTGCCACCGCCACCGCCACCGCCACCACGAGCAACTCTACCTACACCATTAAAAAAAATCAACCAAAAACCCCATCGCCACCAAAATATGGAAACCACAACCAGATCCACCACCACCGTCACAACCTGTATCGCCACTCCCGCGAAACATTATCGCACAAACATCCTCACCGTCGCCACTGCAGATGAAAGAACGTATACACTCAAAGCTTAATAGTGATTGAGCTAGGAGCGAAATAGTAGTTTCAATAGAGTTGGGGGAGTCATTAACGTCCATGAAGTGTGGTCAAATGTCAATGGTCATCGAATTAATGATTTGGATTGAACCTCCCGAAATAGCAGAGCTTTCGGGGCCCATTCTTGCAAAACGACGACGCATTAGAGAGATATGACTTCGTTAGGATCCTACTGTCGCCGATGACCACCGTCTCCTGTGGAAACCCCTTCTGATGCAAGTGCAAATTTGTTCTTGCACGGACTAAAGGACTCAAGCAAAATGCAAGACCAGATATATTCCCACAGTGCCCTTTAAACCCTACGCGGCGGCGTCGGAGTCCTACGCGGCGTCTGCTTCCAACCTTGGGAAGACTCTAAAGATTAACCACTCAATCCACTGTGTCGGTTCCATTTTCGTCGCCCAACTCGAAACCAAAACCACAAATACAAACACCACCTATCTACTCAGCCCGCCACCGGTTTTCTCCCCACCACCTCCTGTCCAGTCACCTCCACCACCTAATCAGAGAAATCGTCGAAGAAGATCTCCGCGGGAGTGAGAATAGAGAGTAGGAAGAGAGAGAGAAATGATGGAGAAATAAATTAGGGTTTGGGATAAAAAATGAGATGGGAGTGTGGGGTTGTGTTAGGTGAAAATGTAGATTATTTTAATTATATCCTAATATATGAGAAAATAAACTTAAAATCTNGAATATGTAGATTATTTTAATTATATCCTAATTTATGAGAAATTAAACTTAAAATCTGATTAATGAAGTGTAAACTTTAAAAACGGGGCTAAGTATAATTTCCTCTTTTACTTTTATTATTCCGTTCACTCTTTTTTTAAGCCCATTCGAATATGTTCCGGGGGAGAAGGATGTAAGCCTATTGTACACAATAAATGTGAAAATTACATATGAGAAAAAATCTGACACTTGCAATTTTTTATATTTTTATTGGTGATGATAATGCAATTGTCATATATCACTCTCATACACCCAAAAAAAAAAAGGAAAGGAAGAAGAAAAACACTTTCAAGGCATATTTGATACATTTAATCGGGAAAAAAAAATCGGTGGACATTCTGAAAATATTGTGAATAAAAATTAGATGTGCATTTTTATTAGGATTTTTTGGGATTCATCGAAAAAAAGCATTAATTTGAATTTCGGGAAAAGAAAAAAAAAAAAAAGTCTCTTCTCATATCAAAAAGTGGGTGGGCTCTGCTACGTGTATATTATGGTGTACATAAGAGTGTTCATAATGGATACCCAACACCATCCTATTGGATGGAGTGCAGGTGGGATTGACAGTCCATTCAATAAGGTGGTGTCGGATGTCCATTATGGACATCCTTACATACAGTACAAGAAGAATAATCCAAAGTGGAATATCTATCGATGTCACATTCTCAATATGGTAGGCAAACAAATTGATAATCAATTGACCTTCATTACAGGGAACGAAGTGTACACACAAATGGCAATAAATGGGCTTCCTTGAGCAAATACCCAGTTGCCATTTCTTCTTCGTAGGGTGCTCAAGATTTGGAATTTACCATTCTTCAACATGGTTTTCAACATTTTAAGCAGGGCCATTTTTTCCCGCTGAAAGAATGGGCTTCAACTGCTTGTGTTGGGATACAATTCACTTTTCTTAAAGTGCATCTCCAAATCTGCTGAGGTACAACTACTTAACTCCCTTTTTATTCAATTTTACCTAGAGTGTAGAGGAACTTTCCATGGTACAATGAGGGATTTTCCTTCGTGTTTTGGTGAAAATGGTGTACAAATTGCCGATTCTTCATCGTCTAATGCAACTAGGGCTGCCCAAAATCTTGTTACTTGTGTTTATCAGTGTCAATTACAAAGCATTTCTCGCTTCATTACCATTACATGGACTAAGTATTTGATGGGCCAAGGATTTAGTGTTGGAATTGAAAATTCAACAAAACAATGCCTATGTAAAGTTGACATCAAACCCTGGTTGTTTTCCAAGAGAAAAGGGTTCAAGAATTTGGAGGTGGGCTCTAATTTAATTGACATATATTGGGATTTATCCTCTGCAAAATTTGGTTATGGACCAGAACCCTTAGATGGTTTCTATGTAGCTGTTGTGTTTAATCAAGAACTGATTTTACTTCTTGGGGACTTACAAAAACAAGTATACAAGAAAATAAATGTGTCCTCCTTTTCTAGTAATGCAGTTTTTGTTGCTAAAAGGGAACATATATTTGGCAAAAGATTGTACAATTCTAAGGGCCAATTCTGTGATAAGGGGAAAGTACACAACATTGGGATTGAATTTGACATTGTTGGGGGGAGTAAGGATCCATGTTTAGTGATCAGTATAGACAGCAAAGAAATGATACGAGTGACACATCTTAAATGGAAGTTTAGAGGTAATACTACAATTTTGGTGGAGGGATTTCCAGTTGAGGTTTATTGGGATGTTTATGGTTGGCTGTTTGGTAATGTTATGGGCAATGCAGTTTTCTTGTTTCGAACTCAACTCTCAATCGAGAATGAGAAGTTCTGGGCTCACCAGTCTCCACTTCCCAGTCCCTCTGTGTTGAATTGGGATGGTTCACATAAATTTAGTGATCCTCAGTTGCAAGATAAGGGATTTTCATTGATATTGTGTGCTTGGAAGAATGAATAGTAAGTGTGTTTATGCTTTCAGACCTCGTACTTACGAAGAATAAAGATATACTTGGAGTGATTATGTTTTCCCAAGTTTGTGATCTGGTAGTTCTTGCAGAGCTTACACGTTAGTACACATGGTGTGGAACTTGAAGAATACTCAAAGTGGGCTACATTTAGAACACTTAATGCATGTTTGGTACACAGTATTAGAAATGTGCTAAAAATACAATAGATAAGATTTTAGCGTCTTTTTTTTTGTTAATATTGTGTTCCACTGTCTAATTTACCTTACCAGTTTGGATGTGGTTTAATGTCCATTAGATATTTTGCTAGTCTTCATGTCAATCTTGAGACAACTTGATTTTGTATATTTACCGCTTAAAAAACACTATTATCCTTTGATTGTAATGGGTAATATTATAGAATATTGTTTATTATATTGTCTAGTCCTTTCTAGTCCAAAGAAATTTTGAAGATTTGCATACGAGGAAGTGTTGGGTTGGAATCATTATTTTTAGCACATATGTTTTCTTGCTTGTTGCAGTTGGATAGTTTGTTCAAAGACAAGGAGACTGGATTTTGAAAGTCATTTCAATAAAATAAGCTACTTAAAAAATAAGTTTAATTTACTTTTAAGATGCTCAAGTCCCTTTAACTGAATTGAGTTGTTACTACTCAAAGGGCAATAGGGATTGTGCCAGTCTTGAAGGCCTCCAGGTTTGGAGTGATTATTACCTCGAGTGATTGGAATTCACGATGATGAAAGATTAATCAGCAGTTTTATCTATATGTAAATGTAAGAAAGCAAAAGTGCACATTTGAAGGGACTACTGGCTATCTATGATAAGAGCTTTAATTTGCTTCTTAAAGAAAAAGGTGTCGAGGTGACCACTAATACACAACCAAATAACTTTTTTTTTCCCAAGGAATATGGTGTAATTTGTGCATATGACACGAGTATTATCTTTGGTTGCATAGCCACACTGGTCAAGGGCCTCTCTCATCGTGTTTGGAAGACTTGAAAGGATAAATTCTTCAGCTCAAGATTCACAAAGGGATACTGACTAGGCCAAAAACCTTTCTTATACGAATTTGGCTACTTTGAGTGTTTTGGTGGACATATCTATTTGACTGTTTCGATAATGTATTCTATTATATATCAAGTTTGGCATAATGAACAATTATAGCCTGCTAAAACGAGTTCAAGATGCGACAAAATAACATTTCTGCATAAAAGAATTAGATATTATGCACTACCCGTTGTGATGCAGCTTGCCACCTAATACACCATAGTAGCTACCTCTGTTCTGATCTCCTTTCCAGTATCTTTTCAATATTAATCCAGCTTTTATGAACAGTTTATAATCCTTCTTCTCTTCAAATAATCCTTTCTGCTATAACTGAAAGGGTCCTATCATCCTATGCTTGCTGTCATTCATTGTCTCCCTCACCCACAAATTGAACCGTACTTTGAAGCTTGAAATGCTAATCTGAAACAAATTACAGAAGTGATTCCAGACTTGCGTAGAAGTATCCCCCTGCAAGAACAGATGATATGTGGATTCAGTAGAGGCATTTTAGGGGTGGCATTGACATTTGGATGCCAAGGATATTTGGCATGTTGTCCACAGGGCACCAATTGTGCCACAATTTCCAGCAAAAAGATATCTCAAGTAGGATGGCTACATGCTATATGAATTTAAATGAGGATAAGTGACTCCTCTTGGTTCCGATTTCCTCCCAGCAAGATTTTGCAGAGAATTGCCCACTGCTAGACAGGATCCTAAACATTTGACCATTGGTTTCCTGCTGCAATGGTAATCCTTTCTTTAATTCTTAGAACTTCATATTCTGGCAGCACCTTTTTTCATTTGGCAGTGTCCCACTCTCCTGTCCAGAATCCATGAACTTGTGAGTTGAGCATTGGAGTTGTGTGTGTTGCAGTCAGTGAAAATTTTTGTACAGGAACCTTATCATCAATGAGCTTCTTGACACACTTGCCTATTGGTAGGACCCATCATGACACCAGGAAACCATCTGATTAAAATGCACGGAGGTGACATACATCAAGGGGTTCCTGGATCTCGAGCAATGATTTACCGGTCTTCACGTCCCAGACGACCCAGTGACAATGAAATTCAACCGGGGGTTAAAATCCAAGCAGAAAACAAAGCAGCTGTGTCCATTGAGAGTCCTGACACACTCAACAGCACGTGCGACCCAAAGGCTCATTTTTTTTCAAACTCATTTTAAGTCACGTTTTATGGGACCCACAACTTTTATCAATTTTTTAATCACACAGTTTATTAACTTTCGTCAAAATTTATTGAAAAAATGATTTTTAGCTAAATTAAACGATATTCCCGAACTAAACAAGCAAATACCATTTTATTCGTGACAATTATTTCGATTATCAGTTTAAAGTAAAGAAATCAAATAGAAATTTAAACCAACCAAACTTAAGGAGAGAGAGCATAATTTTTGAAAAGAAAATCAGGAAAAATATTTGCCTGTTGTTATCTTGTCTTGTAAAATCCAACTTACCAAAAATGAAAAATACATGTGAATCATTTGATTGTGTAGAAGTATAATTTTGTCAGTACGACGGATGATTGAACTACCGAATGAAATAAGCCTTCAAACATTATTCACGTGCTAATTGGTTTCTCCGAGTAACTTGAGCGAAGTACGAAGTAGAAACCCGTGGAAAAACAGGCAATTTCTCCTCCAAAAGATGTTACCAATCTCGAGAGACGAGGAGTAACTCTGAGGCAAACACCGTACTTGCAATATCCAGTACAAGTTTGTACGAAGTACAAATTTTTACAAACAGGCTCGAAGTAAATATTGAAATTATATAATGTTTTAACATCAGAAAGAGCACATATTACCCTAGCTATCCTTTGGAGCAGGCATCAACAGAAGCTTTTCTTCCGATGGCTGTTTCCCCCCAGACGACCTCTCTTCCGCTAATAGTGACAATAAATCACTGCCATTTGCCAGGCTGTTGAACTCGACAGCTTTGGATGGGGCTGTAGGATAACGTCGTTGGCAGAATGTCATCAACCTTTTAACAGATTGCAAATACTTACGGGTGGTCTCATCATTCATGATGTGAGCCACACTGTTTGTATAGATCTTTTCACGTGCAGAACGTTCATGAATACCAACCATAGTGACACCAATAGGCCAGGGGGCATTTCCAATGGCCATTTTAATGTAATGATCCATTGCAGCTAGATAGTCTCGCTTCATACAGCATTCGACGAACAATAGCAAAGCTTGCCGAATATCATCAGGAAGAACCTAGAAAACAGATAAAGCATTGTGTAAATCATTTACTTGATAGTCATAATGTGCACTCATATGGAACTCATACTGAAATAGAACTAAGAAAATTTGGTAACTCTTTGTGGGCTTCAATTCAGTAGCTAACAAATGCCTCAAGCAGGGAACTGAAATTCTTCGCTCATTGCCCAGAGAAGGGGAGAGAATACAAAGTGCACCGGTGAATGAGGAAGCCAAGTTCCAAAGACAGCAGATAGATTCTTAAAACCTTTTTTGCAAGATTATCAATTTTCCAGGCATCAACTACTGTTTAGCTTGGGAAGAACGCTAGTTCAAGTTAAGATTTGTAGGTTGATCACAGTTAAATCCTAGCATCTTGCATCATGGAATTTTTTTTTTTTTATTGTGTCTCAGTTCATATCATGCAGCCTCAAAAGAAATTTAAACAGCAGTCACAGTTTATAGGGTATGGTACAGTTAACTGAATTCATCTCGGCCTAGCATGTCTAATCTCATGGTATTAGATTCCATACTTCTTACAAGACTCCCAGATCTACATGTTCCAAACCATGCCACATCCAACCCCTGGTGTTGCCACGTTCCACCCCCACCCTATGACCCCAACCAAATATAATATATTTCCCTTAATAACATGCATTATCATTATCTCAACTTTACCTAACATATTAAGTTTATTATGATTTTTCACGACATTTTTGTCAACAAGGAGTGCCTCCATCTTTTAGTTTATGTTGTCCCTTCTCACCTTACTCTTTCCATTTTTGCCTAAAGCTGCAGTTTATATATATAGCAGGCAAAACCATGCTGCATATTACAATAACTTTCACACTTGCAAATCTTATTTGGCAGAGTTCATATATAACACAGACGTCAGACTCGAAAAAAATCAGCTACAGAATTGTCAATGTTCAGGTACTATTACACTTAAATGCTACCTAACCTCCAAAATTTATGGAAGATTGAATCATATTGTGGCTACTGGCCTATGCTCCAAAAACAACCAAATGCTAGAACAGAAATTCACCCACCGAAACATCACTTCCAGCTATATCAAGCACACGGGCAATACGTGTGCATCCATGTGCTCTATGGGTTTGCACGAGATTGAGATTCATTATGAGGCTAACAAAGGCCTCAAAGTAAAATTGGAATCTACGTCAAATAATCCTATTCCTTAGGAGCACACGCTGCTCCGTCTCATTGTCGTATGCTCTTAGATGACATTTTAGGAATCACATTCAAATGGGTTTTCTGTTTGATCCACTCCCTCTAATTCCCTCTCTATCTTGCTCCTGTACCCTCTCACTCCACGCGACTTGAACTGCAACTGATTGAACAACTTAGATTTGACAACGGATGATGCCGTTTCATTGTAAAAGCACCAATACTTCATCGATTGGGGTGAGCTATGGCAGGCAGTAGAACTATACACAGGTTTATTGGTGCTCACCTCCTAAATTCTTCAGAAACAAGAATTTATAAGAAGTACAGCCCCTTTCTCCCAGTAATAATAATTTTGTTTAAAAGATGTAAAACTGGTTAGTAAATAAACACTAATGGCTCTGCGGGAAAAAAGTTCAGGATAACTATGTCATAGGTTGTTCGTCCCAAGGCTTCATTTGTTAGCCGACCATTTATTTACAAGTGCCAGAGCTTTACCGGATTGTATTAATATTTGTATGACAGTGCACCAGATGATAATATTTATATTTAGATCATTGCTAAACTACCTAAGCCCCCGTTTGACACCCATTTTTTATCTCATTCTCATTTTTCTACAGTACTCATTTCTAACCACACATTCTCCAAATAAAATAATATTACATATAAACCCAAAAATTCTTCTTCCTTTTTAACCACACATTCTTTACATCAATCACTGTTCAAAAACTCATTCTTCAAAAGAATGGGTGCCAAACACCCACTAAATTTTACACCTACCAGGTGCACGGAAAAAACCTTCAAATTTATAGATTTCGCTTTAACTTAAAATTTTCAGTTGCATTCAGGCATAAACTCCAGAAGCCTACCTATACTTACATTCTACTCTCAGATAATCGTATCAATTGAAGAATCTATAATATATATAGTCTGTGTACTGTGTAGTCATTAGACAAATGACTGCAGCTCCTTTCCTTACACCAGCACAAGATTAAAAGCTCTATAGCGAAGCTGGAAAAAGGAGTCAGAGATAGAAACCCGTACAACACTACAACTCATAAAGATCAACCAAGCTGAGTAGTGTAACACATGTAATTATTGACCGCAGGAAGCTAAAAGATTTATGACCTACTGATTATCGATGAATTATGAAATTGGTAACTCTAGATAAATCTTAATTGCACGAGAAAAAAATACAAGTTCTGCATCAGAAATCACTATAGAGAATTCCACATATGCATGCCAAAATCCTCTTAATTACAGCAGATAATTTCACCCCTTCCACTAAAATATCACGAGACTAAAAGCACATTGCATGAGAGGAAGAAGTTGTAAAACTGGTTCATTTTTTAGCACTCACAGATAAAAAGTAACGCTCTGTGAGTGAGCAAGAGAAAGCAGCCAATGAAACTAAAACACGAACTAACCTTCTTTCTGCAGAACTTGAAAAGAGGGTTCAAGTACCGAGCACACTGCTTAAAAGTGGCAACCATTGATTTTCCTTTGGCAGTCCTCTTCTCTGCCTCACTCATCTCGTTTAACTCCTGATTCCACTCATTCAACAACTTCTTAAAAAACACCAAAATCTTATCCTCATCGCACAANCCACACATTCTTTACATCAATCACTGTTCAAAAACTCATTCTTCAAAAGAATGGGTGCCAAACACCCACTAAATTTTACACCTACCAGGTGCACGGAAAAAACCTTCAAATTTATAGATTTCGCTTTAACTTAAAATTTTCAGTTGCATTCAGGCATAAACTCCAGAAGCCTACCTATACTTACATTCTACTCTCAGATAATCGTATCAATTGAAGAATCTATAATATATATAGTCTGTGTACTGTGTAGTCATTAGACAAATGACTGCAGCTCCTTTCCTTACACCAGCACAAGATTAAAAGCTCTATAGCGAAGCTGGAAAAAGGAGTCAGAGATAGAAACCCGTACAACACTACAACTCATAAAGATCAACCAAGCTGAGTAGTGTAACACATGTAATTATTGACCGCAGGAAGCTAAAAGATTTATGACCTACTGATTATCGATGAATTATGAAATTGGTAACTCTAGATAAATCTTAATTGCACGAGAAAAAAATACAAGTTCTGCATCAGAAATCACTATAGAGAATTCCACATATGCATGCCAAAATCCTCTTAATTACAGCAGATAATTTCACCCCTTCCACTAAAATATCACGAGACTAAAAGCACATTGCATGAGAGGAAGAAGTTGTAAAACTGGTTCATTTTTTAGCACTCACAGATAAAAAGTAACGCTCTGTGAGTGAGCAAGAGAAAGCAGCCAATGAAACTAAAACACGAACTAACCTTCTTTCTGCAGAACTTGAAAAGAGGGTTCAAGTACCGAGCACACTGCTTAAAAGTGGCAACCATTGATTTTCCTTTGGCAGTCCTCTTCTCTGCCTCACTCATCTCGTTTAACTCCTGATTCCACTCATTCAACAACTTCTTAAAAAACACCAAAATCTTATCCTCATCGCACAACTCCTCAAAATTTGCTTTCATTCGCTTTATATCCTTGTCGTGATCTCCACCCGAAGATGCCCCATCCCCACTCAAATCCTCATCACCACCTCCTCCATCTTTATCCTCTCCTCCATCCTCAGTCGCATTCCTCTTCCTACCACTCAAAATCCCCGACTTCTGCCGCTTCTTTAACTCCACGATATCACGAAGAAAATCATTGGTCTGCCCCTCCGTCATATCACTATCATCAACCTCAAATAACCCAGCTTTCAAAACATATTTAAGCCTATCAAGCCTCGCCTCATCATCTTCCCCAAAAAGCGTGACAGGTTGTTTTAACAAACGGAGACGACGAATAACTTCTTGCCTCGGGAGATTCAGCTCATCGATCTTTTCCTCGTCTGTTAATGTTCTAGAGGCGGAGGCGGAGGATTCAGATTTGAATTTGGCGACTTCGGGATTGGAATTCGAATTCGATGGGGAATTGATATTGCGGTTGCTTTGTTTCTGTTCCAATTCTTTTTGTTTAAGGGCTTTCGCCTCGGCTTCCAGTTTCTCCTCCTCCCGCAGCCGCTGGAGGCGTTTCTGCTCGATTTCGGAGCGTTTGAAAATTTTCTTCCCGCCGACGTCCTCCGCCAGGCTCTGCCGTTTCTTCAGCAACTCTTGTTTCAGGATATCCATGAATTGGGTCTGATTTTCGTCAGGGCCTGCTTGGGAGTTTTATTGCCACCGGTCTTGACCTTTTGGTGGCAGGATAATTTTGATCGATTCGCTCCAAATCGACGTTTTTTTGGTTGTTCCTCGAATTTTCTTCTTTATAAAATAATTATTTTTAATCAACATATTTTTTTAATACTAACTTATAAACAAAAATATACTAACTAAAAAAAATTACATTTTAATTAAAAAATTATTTATAAGTGAAATATTGCTTATAAAATAAAAAATGAAAAATTATTAATAAGACAAAAAATAACTTATAAAATATAAAAAATTATTTATAAGTAAAAAATTCACTTATGAGTAAAAATTATTTAAAAGTAAAAAATTAAACTTATAGTTATAAAGTTTATTTATAACTAAAAAATATTAACATAAAATTTTAAGTAAATATTAACTTATATATAAAAAAAATTACATATAAGTAAAATATCACTTATAAATAAAAAATTTCATATAAAAAACTATAAAGTGAAAATTTCACTAAAGGACGTATATGTAATTTATTTATTTTTAAATGCAGAATCAGTGGATAATAAATTTCAAAGCATGGGTTGAACTGTTTTAAAAAACGCTACTAAAATCATTCATAATCGATCATCTCATAACCGGTATTTTAAAAAATGCTCATAATCGGTACGTCATAACTCTCAAGCAAGCCCTCGGGGTTTTCTTCCTTTTAGCCTGTGTTGGAATCACTATAGACGAATTTTTTCGGGCTAAATTCACCAATGATCACCTATAGTAACTTTATATTTAGTATCATAGTGGTCATCCAATTTAATTTAATTTTATCACGACCACCAAACTTTATAATTAGTGTCACATTGGCCACCCAATTCGATTATCTTAAATAAAATTATCGAGTATTTTAACTATTGGGTGGTCATTGGTAAATTTAACCCAATTTTGTTTATATATCTATAATACATTAAATGGTAATTATATTCACACAAAAATTATTTATATATGCACCATATTCTAATTAAAAGAAAAAATTTCAATATTTGCTCCCTTTTAGTTTTACGTCCTCAACTTTTTTTTCCCGTCGCACTGTCATTTTTAATATTCAATTAATTAACATATTTTGTCTCTAATCACGATTTCTCATCCAAATATTCCGTTTAACTTGCATTGAAAAGTTGGAAAAATATTTTGTTTAACATTTGTATTAATTATTTATTTTGATTATTTAAAAATACAAGAGATAAATATGTCTTTTTGACCCTCGTGACAAATATTTTGGAGGCAAAATTTATCTATATAGACACTGTGAAAATTGATAGAGGACTGATGATAAAAATTTTAAAAAATGAAATTGAGAACGTAAGTGTAATAATAAGAAAAGTTTAGAAATATTCATTGTAATTAAAACGCGGTGTGGTTGACAAAAATTGTTGTGTGAATATATTTACCCTATTGGCCTATATTAAATATCACATTAAGCGATAATCTTTTTTTTTTTTTTTGACGATTTTAATCATACTATAATTCAATTATTTCAATAATATATTACTTGGGCGATTCTAAGCCTACTATAATTTAATTATTTTAATAATAACTTACTTTTTGTTTTTCAATATGTATTCAATTTATTTAACTATTTAGTTACCATCAACGTACACGTACATTCGACATATCCATTTCACTAGTGTGCTTTCGTTAATGTATGAATTCCCTATTATTAATTCTCAATTAGTTCACATTCATATTCATTTAATTAATACTCATTTTCATTTGTGCATTTCAATATTATTAATTCTAATTATAAGTTAATTAGAATTTCACATTACAAAATGTATTTCATTATTCACGTTCATGTATTCTAATCAATATCTAGTTTTACTTAATTTGAAATTAAATAAATGATTTAATATGTATTATCACGTATATATTATTTGATATTAGTTCTAAGTTACTTAATATTCATGCATATTCAAATATTACATTTACAACAGTTATAAAGCATTTCATTTGTGGATGACGTAAATATAGGTAATTGCTGTCACGGCACAAACATTTTTAATATTTGTAGGTTTTACCTCAATCTTTGATTTATTGTACTTGTGATCCTAAATCTTTCAACCGTGTCCGACATGAGAACAAATGGGTGGTTTTCATCGATATTTTCATTAGCCGATCAGAAAAATAATTTTGATTATATTTTTTGTATTTTAAAAAAGGAAAAAATAGTAAATGTGAATAACGACAAAAAAAATGTAAAATATGAAGTTTGAGGACTCAATTGAAAGTTTTCAATAGTTGATTCGGACCACAAAAAGATAATTGAAGATTGTTACGAGTCAATCGGATGCAATTAGAAGTAAAAAATGAGCGAAATATTTTCAGAAATCAATTTTCAACCGCACAAATTCGTTATAGATTTTTAGCCCAGGATTTAGACCCATTTTTGACATAGTAAACGTTTGAATTGACAAAAGTTATATAGAGTAAAGTTATAACTCTTTGAGTTATTTTTTCAACGCACTAATTGTCTCAATTGGATATCAAAAGAGAAAGTTATGATAAAAATACTGAAAGATGTACAGTGTTGAAAATTTTCCCAAAAGTGGGTGCTCAATCTCGAGAGAGAGGGGAAAAAAGCGGCGCTGAGGCTCCACTCTTGTGGTGCTTAGGAGCCGCCTGATGGAAGAAAATGTTTTGAATTTTTTGGGTTCTTTTTAAATCTCAATCCAATCCAATCATAACTCTTCCAAAACTTCATAACGATATAAATACAACCTCAAAGACCACTTTTCAATTACAATTCAACCTGACAATCATTAATAAATCAAGAACAACATCGCAAACGAGATTTAAGATCTATAAAAACTAGATTTTTTAAGTCTCTTCTCTATGTTGTTTTATTTGAATTTGATTATTTTTATGGTTTCCGTCATTAACTAAATATTTAATCTAGAGTTTGATGTAACCAAAACTTGATAATACGATTTAAATTTTTTATAGTTAGCCCTTGTTTGATTCTCATTATTATCAAAATATATTTTCTCTCTCTTATTTTCAACTACGCATTCAATAAAATAACATTATGCAAATAAAAAACATTTCATTGTTTTTTAACCACAATTATCTATCAAATCACTATTCCAAAATACATTTTTGTTAAATAATGGGGCTCAAACAAGCCCTTAATTCTTTGAGATTTTTAAATCGTGTTTATTTTTGTTATTTATTTTTAATGCTTTCAATTAATTAAACACTAATTGAATGATTAGATGCTTGTCAATTTTGGCTCTCTGATTACGCCCAAAGTGTTACGCGGTGTTGTAGTATAGCTTTGGGGTGTCGTATCCACAGGGAGATGGAAAAGTGAATCAAGAGGTTCAATAACTTTGGGTTCTCGTGAATTTGATGAAGGGAATTTGTTTATTGCATTCAAATGTAAATGTCACCGGAAATAATGATGAAATTTAATATAATATGTAAAATAGTGAAGTTTCGGGGTTCCCTCAATTAGATTGGATCAATCAACATCAACAATTCATGCATTCTCTACTCAATTAGAAGTTTTTGTCCTAACTTTCTAATCGGATGATTTAAACGATACAAACCAATTTAATTGCACATGTAATCCTAGAATTTATGTTTCCCAAAACATAATCATACATCAATTTATTGAAATCAGACTTAAAGAGCGACTATATATCTCTAACATATAGCAGTAATTAAATCACACCAATAAATGATTTGAAAATCAAACTTGAACAAGTATTTTAATTATTCAACGGAAGAAACATGATTAAATCCATGAAAATCTGAATAAATGTTAAATCTAACTCAAATCTAATTCAAAATACGGGAAAACATAAACCCTAGAATTATTTAAACAATGAAAAACACATCCTAAATTCTAGATCTCCTTAACAATTATCACAATCATCTATTGAAATCAGATTATAAATCGTTCATATACATGTAGCATAAGAAAGTAAATAATCACACCAATAGATTTAATGAAATAAAGATTCAACACATAGTTCAATTGTTCGATAGAAAAAACAAGATTGATTCTATGAAAAACTTAATACATGTTAAATCAATTTCAAAATTAATTCATAAATATGAAAATCTAGATCTAGAAATGTTTAGCAAAATAAATACCAAAGAGCATGAATAAATGATGTTGAAATCCCCGAATCCAATTGAGTTCCTCCCTTGCTTCACCTTTAGTTTAGTTCGTCATAGGTTTCTTGAGCCAAAATCAATGAAAGAATGGTGTAGAATGAAGAATGAATGGTTAGGAGGCGTTCTGGGGTGTTTTGGGATGTATTTAGGGTTGAAAAGTCGTGCAAGATATGTTGCCAAAGGAGTTTGAGTCGTAGAAGGAAACCAGAAATTTCGTCCAAATTTAACCCCATGCGGCCGCAAGGTACAAACCCATGCGGCTGCATGGAACAAAAAATTGATGCCCTTGAAGTCTCGGTAAGTGCCCATGCGGCTGCATGGGTTTTATAACCATGCGGCCGCATGGTTATAATGTTTTCCCGCCGGATAGATTTTAGTATTTGGGTCATAACTTTCTCTACCGATGTCCGATCAAGGTGATTCAAGATGCGTTGGAAAGCTAACTCAAAGGGCTACAACTTTGCTTCAGATTCTATCTTCGAATTCGATCGTTTTCCATATCAAACACTGGTCTCAATAGGAGGCTGAAAACCGGTGCGAAACTTTTCACCTTGAAAGTTGATATTTGATAATGTTTTGGCTATTCTTTCACCCCTTTGACTCCTTGCTTCATCCAATTGACCTCTAAGACTCTTGAATCTTCATTACAAGATTAGAAATAGGTTTAGAGTATTTGCACTTTAGTCCCTGAACTTTCACTTTCTTCGAGTTTGGTCCTTTTTCGCTTGGTTCACCTCAATTTCGCTACATTCATCACTTTGTTCTGCAAAACATAAATTGCATAGAGTTAAGCTATATTCCAACATTTTAATCAA